AGGGTAAAGTGGCTTTCCGGACACTCAACTTATCGTCTTGCAACTCATGAGTTGCAAGACGATAAGTTGAGTGCATTTTGACGCATGCATTCCCCGACCCGCCTGCTCCGTGTCCCTGGCGCGAAAGTGATTTTCCACCTGCTAGGCATTAGTCTTGGTCCCAGTGGAGCCATTTCAGCTCAGTATACATGGCAGCTGGCGGACAAGTGTCTTGCACAGCTTCCCTATGCATCCTGACAGCCTCGAGCATTGCGTCCAACCCAGGATGTTGGCTGAACCACAACGCTGCGAGGCCTTCAACGTGCTGGCGTTGCAGCTTCGCGTCGCAACGGCCAAGCAAACCCATTCTACGCAATGATTTTTTCATCACTGCTGCCAAGCTTTCTGTACCTTGGTCTCCACCAACGACCGTCACTTTGCTCTGTTTCTCGAGCAGCATGGGTCTGGCAGAAGAAGAGGAACTCCTGGAGCTACCTTGCTTCAACGCTTGCAGGGCTTTCTTGGGAAGGTGTCGTTTGCTCAGAGTCACAGTTGGCGTGTACTCGCTCTGCGAGTGACGCGCCGTTGCAGCTGTCAACTTCATCTCCTTCATAGCACCTTGCAGGCCCTTCGAAGCGTCGCTGCCCACGATGTGTTTGGTGCTGCAGAGCTTCGTCTTCAAGAGTGGCAACACTTCATCCTTGCTCTCAGGCGGACCCGGAGCGTGTTTCTGGGTCTTCCGGTCTGGCAACGGCAGAACTGCTTGCTGACCACTTGTTCTATGCTTCAGCAACAAGAAACGGCCTGCGTGGATCATGGAGGCTGGTTTCTTCGAAACAGGCTTTCCAGATCGCGTTGTTGGCTTCTTGCGCAATTGGGACTTTGCTTTGGCGGTCAAAGTCCTCTTGTCAAACGTCTTCGACTTGCCAAAAGTTCTCGTACCGTCGATGTCCACCATCCCAGGGTCCAAGCACATGGCTTTACTCTCCTGCAGTTGTGCAAAGGCAGCGCACACACGTAGCTGTCGAAAAGTCAAATCAGTGTAGTCTTGTGAGCGACCCAGCACATGCCATGATGAATCCTGAGGGCACTTCAAGGAACACAAGTACGCAGCACAGACAAAGGCTTTGCAGTCCTTGGGATGACCTCCTCTGAGACGTCCTCCAAAAGGAGTGAAGGAGAATTGCCAGGAGTAAAGACGTGGTCTCTGGCCCGAACATTGTCGGTTGACACATCTGTAAGCTTGTGTCTGCGACTCTGGAACCATTGCAGCTTTGCACACCCAACAACGTCTGTTGCGCCGATCTCCGAACACACCAGCCTTCTTGAGAATGGAAAAGCATTTCTTCTCCGGCCAAGACAGCACAGTCGGAAAATCGACTTGTCTCAAAGTGCGCAGCTTCCCTCTGGATTGGAATTTCCGAGTGGCATATTTGATGCCTAACTTCCAGTGCTTTCGGTTTGTGCCTTTGGCCGTGGCCACAGTTCTGGAAGTAGGCTTGGGCCTCCCAGATTCATATCTTTCTCTGTCGTCAGACAAGTTGCCTTTCATGGCTCAGAAATGCAGAGCCAAGGAAGCTACATTAAACGGAGCTCGAACCAAGGCCCGAACATAAATTCGTCTCTGGGGCACAGTGTGGCGATCAAACAGCCTTTCAATGTCCCACCAAAAAAGTGAGTTCTGGAGGTCTGCTGTCAGGAGAGAGGAAATATATAGATACTCAGAGAGAGGAGATAGAGAAATATATATATTCATATAGGAAACCACTCTATATATATATATATATTTAGACAGAGAGCATGTATTTCTCTATATATATATATAGATATGCATATGCTTTCCGCAGGCTTGTTCAACAACAAGTGAAATCGCATTCCGGATTGAGCGCCCGTTCAACATTTTTGCAGCGACGTCTGTTCATGCTTGCGCATTGCGCAGCAGTGAGGCTGGTAGCTCATGGTACTTCTGTCGAAGAAAACGAGGTAATTTAGACCACATGTGTGCAGGAACCGGTATGGAGTTCCAACACTGTCTGCGGCCATCCTCAAGTATCCAAAACCGGGAACACAAAAGTCGAATGGATCCACGGTATGGTCCACTCTGGTACAAATGAGGTCTCAAGGAGTACTCACAAAGTGGACAGCGTCCCCACTTGGTACGCGGCCATGGTCTGTCTTCAGCAGACCCTTGTGCATCCCCAGTGCAAGCGGCATTGGTGTCCTGAGATTCAAAAAGGCCATGGTCACTCGGTCCGGAGATGTTCGAATCTCGAAAAGGTCACGATAAGCGACAAAAGCAAAAGTTGCCCCGGAGACAAACAACAAAAGCATAATACCAAGAAGACTCGAGAGAAGAGCCAGCGGCCCCGCTATTGACTCTCTGCGGTTGCTCTGCCAGGGGTGGTGTGCTATGCTTGGTCCAATACTGAATCTTGGCCTGTCTGTGCGGCGGACTGTCCCATTCATTCGGAGGCGACAAAGACTCCGAATCATCTTCCTCATGTGGTTTTTACAAGAACGAGAATTCCGAAAAAGGCCAAAAAATCTTATAGGTTCACATGTCTGCCAAAACGTAACAAATAATTCGGGGAAAGCTTCCTCTTTCATCGGCGTGTGCGCAGCCGACATAGATCGTGGCGGAGACTCCGTCAAATCTATCAAAGGTTGCAACTCACGTCGCTTAGACGCGAGTTCGGGAGAGTCCAGCACGGGCGTGGTCGTCTGTGTCATCCGCCGCGGCGTACGCTCGTGAGGATCCGGAGTCACACATGGCGTGTCCATGGGAGGCTGTCTAGTAGTAGAATGCTGGACACTGACATGTCTGTTTAGTTGAACATCTCTAATTTGCAACAAACGCCTGGAAAGAACCCATAATGCACTCCACATGACAGGTGTAAAAGACATATGGTGTCGATGAAAGTGAGAAGTCCAAACATCAAACAAAACCAAACGAAAAGCGACGAGACGGTCAAACCGTAACGGAGAACGACAGTTTAACAATGCAACCTCCTGAACAAAAGAGATAGTCGGATCTGAGGCACGGGTACAAACGTCTATGTGAGCGTCCAAAAGAAAGGGGTCGGTCGTAAAAAAAACTTTCAAATCCTCATTGGGGGAAGGGCACCTCAAACCGACCAAACGCAACAACAGAACCAACGACAAACACAAACAAACCTCCAAAGTAGTACCCGTCATGTCCTGTAAGCCGAGACCAGCGGGTCGTCCAGCGAAACGAATAGTGACCGAGCGAAGCTACAAGGAACTGGGTGCACCAATGAAGTACGTAGACGATGTACGCGAGTCGAAACCAGAATGAAACTGACCCCACCCCCCCCCCCCCCCCCCCCCCCCCCCCCCCCCAAACCCGAAAAAATCAGACCATATGTTGCGGGCGGGGCTAACCCCCCCCGTTGACCCAACATGTTGAAACCAGGCTAATTCATTACGCAGCCAAAAGTCTATACTGCTTTTTCCACAGAACTGATGGAATATAGAGGCCAGAAACTGGTCTAAGTTATATATATAGAGAGATGTTACTAGTAGGTTAGCATGTTTACCTGAGACTGTCCTCTCTTGTTGGTCTACTAGAGTAGGAACGCGGCCCATCCAAGATATCAAGTCTGTGAGTCTGTGGTCCGGCCATTTGGCTCCCAGCAGATGCTTGGTCCACAAGTTGCACCCGGTCTCTTTTCGCTCCTGACGTGTCGACGTCTACGGAGCCCGAGAAGGTGCCACCGGACAGAGAAACCAGGCAGTAGACCTGGGCTATGCCAGCTATACCTAGCTAGATCTACTGCCCGAAGTGCGATCTCCGTGCGATTGTCTGGACTCCACTGTGCTACGAACTGAATACAACACAACACAATTCTCAACACCTCACCTAAAAAGCAAAACATGCAGAAGGGGAATAGAAGAATAAAGTTAACGTGTCCAGCAAGTGCGTCGTCATCGAAGAGACTCACCTCGAATTCTGAACTTCACAGCCATGTCACTGAAAAGAAGTCCCGAGTTAATGATCAGTCAACATGAGGTACGGGAGGGTGAAACCCCCGTGGTATGGGAGGCAGATGGTGCAATCATTCCTATTCCATCCTGTCACACATCGGTTGCTTGGTCCACACTCAAAGCATATAGCTTTTTACGGCTAGAACAAGGAGTTCAGTTTATTTGTTTGTTGGTCCGTTGGGACACAGAGAATACTATCGATTGCAGGGATGTGACCCCACACTAGATCCAATATGATGCAAGGACGGATTCACTGGTAGCCCTGCAGCCTACTGAAGTGCCCTTGTATGCACTGAACCTCAGGAGGTAGCTGGAGCCTTCCGCAGAGTGGGACTGGGGAAACATCAATTTGTTTCTGGTTGGGACCGGGTTTCATCGATGTTCCCTGTTCCATGTGTGTGTGTGTGTATGCGTCTTCGTTGCGGCCCCGGTCTGCGGCACGTTTTGCTTCGACTCTGCGTCAGAGGTGATCGGTGGAAAGGCTACGGAAGCTTGAGCCGTATGGAATGACCCAGAATGACCCACCCAAAGGAAGAAACCATAAGAAACCATTCCCAAACGCTCCGTGGGACTGCCATATTTGCTGATCAGTTGGGGTGGTGAAAGGGTGAGCATCTATTCCAGTCGCACTTCCAGTCCCATGGACTATATGGCTTTGCTTCAACTCTACCTAAAAGATCGTCTTCCCAAGACACCCGCTTCATAACAACCCATCTCCTGCCGGCAAGAAATAGAGCACCGTGCTGGCGATGAAGCCCAGTGCAGGGAGCAGCAAGGCTGGCGTGGATCGTTTCAGCACAGGTTGACCGAATCCACCGGAAAGGAGATCTACTGTAAGCGTGTGAGCATAAAAAAAGAGAGATCACCTATGCTCACCTATGGCACATATGTGATCAAATGTTTGGCGTGGCAGCGTGTAAGACTGCGCCAAACATTTGAGGCGAACTCTTATTTGATGATCGGCTACTCAATGGTGCTCAGGTGATGTTGATGGGTTCGATTTATCCCAATCGTCAATCGTCTTCGACAATCACTACGATTCGATGAATGCAGGGCGGCCCGTCTGCTCACCAGGCGCCCGCTCCGAGGTCGTACTGAACTTAATTCAGGGCATACTCAGGCATTATCTGATCGAAGGGCAAATGCAACAGAAGTCCAATGGTACCCCACCCTTCTCTATCAAGGCCCTTGAAACTACCATCAACATCACTTGAACCCCCAAAAACATGTTGGGGTGGATAGTATGGAATATTGCTCAAGCAACATGGCATTGCCTGGCGCTTCTCCTCATTGATCCCCCCTTTTGGTTGGAACAAAACACATTCCCTACCACAGGTCAGCTTTGACCAGATTCTACTGGAGTTTTTTCGCATCCCCCAAAAACGCGAACGACTGTCCCCGACACTCAAACGAACTGTACCGGACCGGACCGGTCCTCAAGTCGACCCCGTAGGGATTGCTGTTGGGCCAACCCCACGCCTCCCAACCCCACTGAGCTTCCCAGGCTCATCGCCGGCATCGCTGAGGTCACGAAGGGCTAGGGACGCGCGACGCCGTGGTGCGACGCTGGCGTGGTCGTTCGGTGGCGTGGTGTTCGGGTGGGGTTGCTTGGTACTGACACTCGAGGGTGTTTCAAATACTGTGTCTTTCGGGTTTCAAGAAGATTGGTGATCCATTCTACAGATTTGTGGCAAACAGCAAGGCCGCACCATGGTCGCACAGCAGCACCAAGTGCTCAACAACAGCTGGGGTGAAAGCTGGCTCCAATGGAAGCTGAACATGTTTCCAGTCAACATAGCAAGACATGCAAGGAGTTTTCCAAGGCTTGCATGTTCAGTGCTCTGAAGCCTGGACGAGCCTGGAGATAGAAGCCTGAATCCATGTTTCATGTGTATCGAGTTTTCAGCAGCTTGGGTCCTGACCACAATGAAGAGAAAAATGAGCGTCGGTGGACATGCCAGGAAGAAGATGAAGCAATAAATGCAGAAAGGCTCCTAGGCCCAACGCCCCCGCCCAATGGACCGTGGAGTGTGGAAACAATCCCAGCAAACAAAGACCCAAACCTTCTGAACTCCGAATCGCTTCTCAAAGATTTGGAAATTAACACTCCTCAAGAACATCCTTAAGCAAAGACCTAAGCAAAGTGCTTCGCGTCAACTGTCAGTGTGGATCAGCTGGCAGTCAACATGTCCAACAAGATCAACTCAAGACTCAAAAGTTAGAAAGGACTCTTTCCTCAGGTCGGGTGCAGTTTTCACTGATGTTGGTCATTGCGGAACATACATAAACACTCCGAAGCTGATCAACTTACGTGAGCGAAACAAGATGCCGTGTTTGGAGACACAAGAGTGAAACAACACGTGTTTATTGCACTGTAGGACATAACTTACACCCCCAAAGTCATGGCTCGCTGAGGTATGCTGAGGTAAGCTCTCACTTTCTCCATGTGTCGTTCACACCACTTGCTCGAACTCAAACCAGGTGGATCCACGGTTTGTCTATCTGGCTTTGCCGAAGAGAAGTTCTTGGGAAGGCAATGACTTTTGAGAGGGGTACCACTCCATGTAGCTGTAGCTAGCTCTGACAGCGCTTCCGGTGCAGTTCCAAACCTCCAGGCTGAGCCTTTGACTGAGTCTGGCATGACATCGCAGCGCTCATGCTCGATTTAAAGAAATCAAGCCATTTAGGGGTCGTGCGGATGGGTGTAATTTGTTGTCTCAAATCCTACAGGTTAATGCCTGGCGACCGTGGGAATTCGTAGGAGATCCTAGGTCTGGAGATGTCTGGAGACTGCAGTTTGTAGAGACACCCAGTTCCCTCAGGTTGATCTCATCATATCTCATCTATTCTCTCCATAAATCCCTAGGGACAAGGTCCCCATGACTTGGCATGTCATTGAGCCGATACTCCGCGAGGAACCGCGAGAATGGAAGGGTCATCTCAGATGGTGGACACCTAATAGGCTCAACAGGGACCAGCTGTCAGCGCAACAAAAACTGCAAGTTCAACGTCTGTGCATTGCTGCGATTGATTTAAAGTGTCTCCTCCCCCCAAAAGCGGAATGCCTTTGACCTTTTTCACTCCTGATTTTCATTTCTTTCGCCACCGGCCGGAAGATGCCGCGCTTATTGCTGATCTCAAAAAAGCTGGTGAATCTGCAAACATATAGCATCAAGTATAGCATCAAATAGCGAACCCCAACCAAAGACCCCCAATCCGCTCCAACCTCCGACTTCGCGCCGAACCCTCACGCCGAACCCTCACGCCCACCTTCGCGCCAAAACCGCCGCCGAACCCTCGCGCTTGCTCCGGCGTTTTTCACCCAGACTTCAGGTCCAAAGGACTCGTATTCGGTCCGCCAGGCCCGCTGGGCACCACCGGAGTCCCGGAAGATCTCTGGTTGCCTCGAACCGGCCGACATAAACCACGGGCGGTTAAATTGGGGGGGGGGTGGGGCTGGCGGTGTCTGGGAATTGGGAGGTGGTCAGTGGCCATGACTTGGAAACCCCGCAACAAACGAGAAATGCAAGTCAAGTCAGAACAAGAAGATTAAATTCATGAGATTTACATGAGACATAGATTATAGGATGATATAGGTTTAGCATGACTTAGCCATGATCAGGCAAAATTCAAGGGTCACCCTGCATCAAGCTCGTAGCATGTTCCAGCTATATCCAGCTATCGCATATGGAGCCTTTGGGTGTAGAATCTCTTACACCCGCCAAAAGCCTCAACGGTGCTGTGGGGTCCTGGATTTTGACTTTCACATCTTCTGGGGGCACACAGCCCGCTGGTTTCCAACGGTGGACTAAATGTGTGTTTAAAAAAACGAGTCTTAATATATGCTTGCAAATCTCATTCTCATTCGACTCAGATGGGCCAAATGCTGAATTTCCCGAGGTATAAAAAGACACAGAATTCTCACATGGCTACGACTGTTCTGCAGCTTCAAGTACTGCCATCGTTTGAGTGGTCCTTAAAGCTAAAGACAAAGGATGCCTCTGCATTCTTCCCAGCTGCATTATGGATGAAATACAACTTTCAGCTCCATCTAAAGAAAGAAGTTTCCCTGAGGCGCTGACCATGTTTTGAGTCTATCTTTCCACCACCAGTGCCCCTCATCTCATACCACGCCCACCCATGCTGTTAACTACAGCCTCACCTTCGATCCTACCCACGGCAGTCCTCGACTCCACCCGAACCGTCAACCCGGACCGTCTCCGTTCAGCTCAGCAGACGCCACCAGGTCTGGATGCATAATCCCCACGGTGAGCACCCACCGATCCTGCGTGCGTGGAGGGTGTGCGACGGTGCGAAAACAGGTCGGCGCCCCGTCGCGACCGGTTACGAATGGCGGTCGGAAGGAAGCACGACGGCGGAGGATGAACAATACGTTTTGTTCGCAACACAGTGAGCAAAGAACCCGCTGGTATACTAAGATGCATGACCTGCATGTTAGCTGGTTGGAAAAGGATTTGATTTACCTTTCAAGAGGGGGTGGTCTATCAGTTTCTGTGTGACTTTGGGCTCTCCTGCTGTCGGTGAGGCCGTTGTACATGGATGGTCTGGGTATACTGTGTTCGTTGGTTTCCATGCGATGCTCTGTAGCACCAGACCACCTGTGATAACTCGTTCACAATCCCTGATGGTGGTGGGTATGGGCCACAATTCTGCCATCTCACCGGTCTGGTCAGCAAGGTAGGACTCCAAGAGTTTGGATTCCAAGAGTCTTGGTTCAACAAACAAACTGATGTTTAGAACCAAACACTGCCATGATGTATGCAATATGTGTGATCTGGGGTGGGCCACTCAAGGGATCGTACACGTCAAGTTTCCAGTTTCATGGGTCGTGCACCTGGCATACCTGCGGATATGGGCGCCACCTTCAGTCTGTACTTTCGTGTACCATGGCCCATCATTGCCCATCATGGCCCATGCACCACTCATGGCCCATGGCCCATGCGCCACCTCAGGCCCATCATGGCGCGCTGCGTGGTCGCAGCTGTCGTCAAAGGCAAACAACTGCCCGTCACGCCAGCGGCGCTCCTCGCGGGGAAGGACGCGTGGACTCAGGACGAGGATCGCCAGGCGAGCGTCCGGGCAAACGACCGTCCGGGCGTTTGCACTGGAAACAAAGAGTTAGAACATCTTACCCAAAACCACAAATTTGAAAATCAAAGCAAAACTGTGATCTGTTGGATATGTTTGGTTGAAACCAGGTTGAAAACGCTATGGCAATCCTTCTATCAAACAAAACAGTCTGGCATGTTGCTGGGGGCCCATGGCACAAGGGGATGGCTTTGACCAAATGGTTCTGCGGCTATATATGACCATTGTGAGTGAGCAAAACAAAATGAGAAAACACTTCTACTCTACGCGTGAGGCTGTCGTGGTACACGACCAAAGGCAATGGCACTACTGTTCATTGGTGGTCGGATGGCCCGTGAGGTACCAAGGATGCTCAAAACCATAGAGTATAACTGGAAAAGTGATGCTAGGTTGGAGGCCATCGCTACTAGAAACAAGAAGCTACGAACGTAACAACCTCAAAACGATCCTCAAAACCACGTCCCTCTCACATCTCGATGGCATGAGCTGTGTCGAAAGGCAGCTGCACCTCCTGGGCCACTGTGATGAAAGAGTCGCTACAACCTCAGCCATGAAAGAGACTGCACGTCTTGACAGGCGGGTGTTGTGGGATATAGTGCCTATTCAATATAGTGTATGTGTTTTTTTCTTGCATAATGATATGCGCCTTATGCAAAAAAATCTTATGTATAGGCTGTTGTCGTTTCCAAGAACTAGCACTCTTCCTACAAGATTCCATGATCCAAAAGTTGGTTTTTCTACGCATGCCGCATGAACATATACTGCAAGCAGCAAGCAGCAAGTGCTAGTTTACTCGCGAACTCCGAAGAATCCGAGCTTGGGAACGCTTTTATGTGGTCTGCAACCAAACCGAAAGCCACTGCACACTCCGCTCGTTGGGCAACCCGTGGGACTTGAATGAAAGTCGAGGCGATCGGATAGACACCGAAAACCTATCCCTATCGTCCTTTGAGGAATCGTTCAGATACACATTGGACATGACCTTGGAGGAAAACATGACACCGAAAAACGTGCTACCGAGCTTGCCTGCATTGCTGCTTGTTTTGAAGCCAAGTGGCTTCAATTAGAAGCAAATCAGCTCCACACATCCAAGCCAAGTGTTTTAACCCTATCGTTCTTTGGCCGTCCCCTATCGTTTTCCAACGAAAATCAACAAACTGAAACCTCTGAGACTAAACAATTCATTGGATGAAACCTCTGAGCGATCGTCTCATATGCCTCTTCCAAGTCCGAACTGGTACGAACTGGTGGCGGGGTTCTCCCTCTTTCTCTCTTTCTCTTTCATCTCTTGCTAGAGCAGGCCATGGCCAACCGCTTTGATTTGACGGATGCTTCGTCGGCTGTCTTGCGCCATGACCCCAGGATGACCCGAGGATAATCCAAGGCTACGTAATCTCAAATTCAGCATGCCGCTCTTAAATGATTCTCATTGAATGCTCTATGTTGAAGAAAAATCCGGAGTTTCAGACACATTGCCCTTTGACACATTAAAGCTGCAGGACTATGACTATATAACTCTCAGAAACAAGTCAAACAGCCACTACATCGGTCAGGACTTGGAACAGTCATGTAGAATCAATAACTCCTTGAACACATTTTGTGATATAGTACCATAGACAGAACAGTCTGCCATGAAACATGTATTAAACACTACTGTTGACTGCAGGGGACCACTACAAAAGAAAGTATCTAAACCCAGTCACGTCACTCTCCCAGCTAGCACCCCAGAAAATGAACAAATCGATCCCACCCCATCCATTCCCATCCACCAAACTGAAAGCGCCGAGACCCTTGTGTCCGATTCATTGTTTAACTCCATCCATGCCCTCAGCCCTAAGGACTCCTCTCCAAACCCGAACTTCCGATCTGACCCAGCTGCCCATCAAGCCCAAACTCAAGTTGAGCCGGGCATTGCAACCACCTGTGTGCAGTAAGATCCGCGTCCCAGGGCTCATCCGGAAGAAGCAAACCTATCGGCAAGCGCAGTGACCCGTCAACGTCTGGAATCATGCCTTGAGAGACTGCTCAAACGGGTGGTGCAGGATGCATAGTTGCCAATTCCTCCGATTTGGCCTCCTCTGAGTTGAAATTGAACATAGAACCTATAACACTACCACTCTGAATAGCAAACCTCTGCCAAACACGCTTTTGTTCAATGGTAACATGCCAAGACGCCTTTGGGGAGCTCACAAAGACACCTTCAGTTCAAGGTTGCTTCCATATCACAAGACACACTCGCACTTGGCCCGATTGTGGCATCTGACAAACAGAGTTTGGAGTCCAGACCTGCGTTGGACTGGAGTCGGTTGGTTTGGACTTAGACTCTTAGACTCTCAATTATGACTTTTGAGATTAGACTGATTAGACTGTTTGCCAACTGACTCCAAGTCTTGAGTCTTAACCAACTGAACATCTCCATCAGTTCGTTTGGACTTAGACTCTTAGATCTACTCTTTTTATCCGTTCCGACCACCCTCACTGAACCTGATTTGTTGAATAGTCCTCGATTTGTTGCAAATTGGTGGGCACAAACAACATGCTCGCAGTGCAATGATGAGACTTTGCAACGTCTCACACTTCTCTTCGCACGAACACGTCGCTGCGCTTCTCTCTCTCTCTCTCTATATATACACACACACGGAACCATATTGCGCAAAGAAACCAAAACACTGGAATATTTTCCCACCTTAGGAGATCCCCACCTTAGTGTGTTTGTTAACTGGACAAATGCTCACGGTTCAGTGGACGTGCCAGTCCATTAACTCCAATCAGATCCTCGTTCGACCTCCAATCATTCGAAGCCCAGGGCCCATTGGCCGCTCCTCCTCGGTGTTGTGGTGGATGTATGGCAGACCATTGGCCTGGCCTGGCAAACGCTCCTTCAGCAGCGCCACGGTCTTCGGCGCCAAGGTGGTGGCTGCAGGGTCCCACTTCTTGTCGTTGTAGAGACCTAGATCGTCATGGTGAAGACATTCCTAGATCGTCATAGTGTTGTCTTTTTGGGGGGAGGTCAAGGCGAAGGATTGCCAAACGACCAGGAAATATGGGATATGTCCCAGCAAACTAACTATACTATCCAGGATGACTATCCAATATTAAGACTTCAAACACGAAACAAATCTGATCGCCTCAGTTTCCTGAAAAGGTTACCTGTCTTCCAGGGAAACGACTCGTCAAGTTGTGAACGCCACAAAACACTTATCTCGGAATGACACAGAAGCCAATCAAAATGGGCATCAAATTATGTGAATCATGTTGAATCCATTGCACTCATGGGTAGACCTGCTTCCATGCGGGTACCTCTGGTTTTTCGCGCCTGCGGTTGGTTGACTTCTTCACCACTTGGCAGGGAGACCCTCACACCTCGCCAGTGGACTGTTCAACTTGTGGCATGAACAAACACGGATGGTAAAGGACAAGTTGACAAACATACCCACTTTTCCCATTGACGCTTTTTTTCATCCAGCACCCGGTTTTCTCCAGCACCGGGCGCCGGAACCATGACCAATTCACCTTCCAGGAATCCGGTGGAGCCCTGCAAAAGGATCCCGTTTGGGCTCCTGGCCGACCTCCGTTTCGAAGGTGGTTAGGGTGGGTGTCAGGAGGGTATAACCACATTCTGAGGGTATGGGCCAGGAGCCCTGGGGATGGGATTTTTGCCAACAGGAGCTCATTTGGTCTTCAGGACCAGGAGACCTGGGCCCTGGGTTAGAGGGCCCTCAGCCCTCACACGCCTACGAACCCAGGCAATCACAACCATGGCCATCGACCGGAGCTTTGGAGGTTTGGTCAGGCTGGACCTGTAATGTCGAATCATGATTAAGAAACATTTGCAAAGGATTGCAAAGGTTACTAATCAAGAGTCTACATTAGGACCTGAACGCCTGCTGGCAGATCCCAGGAGCGAATCACGTCCCAATCGCCCTCCGTGGTGAGCCGTGGGTAGGCCGGATCCACCACCATGCGCCCTGGCGCAGCTTGCGCTCAGCAAGCTGCGCAGCGCTTGCTCGGCCGTGGAGTCTGAAGAACATCGAGCGACAAACATGTGACGGACATCATGGGTGGTTTGGATTGATGTTGATTATAGTTGGTCATATCACATACCAACCTGATTGAACCCCGGTTCCATTTGTAGTCTTTTCCCATGTCTCCTATCAAAACAACGGTCCCAGGGTCCCAGGCCGTTTGACTCTGGGCGATGCTTCCGAGGTGCCGATTCGGTGCGAAGACTCTAGTCGTAGCCTTGTAAAGAGGGTTATGCTTCGGGCGGGTGATGCTTCATTTTTGTCTAAGTCAAACAGCCCAATGCTACATAAACTGGATATGTAAAAAACAACCAAAAAACAAACCATGTGGTTCTAGGATGAGTTACGGTAGTTGTAGGAACCTCTTAGAAGTAGCGTGGGGATGGGTGGGCCAAGGCAATCACTTGGTCATTAATCCACTGAGGTTGGGGGTCGATCACTTGTCAGGATCTCAAGTTCTGCAAGTTCCAACCATCTGCCCCACAGGCGAAAACCCACCCAGTGACACTCCCTGTCCTCCAAGAATCATGTTTAACGGCTTTCTTCGATTCGGGTGCTGGTTTCGACCCGAAATCGGGATTGGGACTTATGATTCTGGAGGCAAGGACCCACCGGTTAGCCTGTCCTCCATTCTCCAAGAGCATCTGGAGCTCTGCCCTGATGTCCAGGACATTCTCCTCCAAGACCTGAGTATCATGAGGCGATCGCGCTTCGACGATCGCGCTCCGACTCGAGTCGGAGCGCGAGAGTGGTAAACAGAATCCACCCACCGATGCAACAATTCCATTCGGATTCATTGTCCGACTCATGTGCTCTACATGATTCATTGCCAAGTCTTTTGAGAATTAGACCAGGCTGCACCTCTCGCACTACTAGCAAACATTTGTCAACATGAAACCAAACCATTGGGAAGGAACATCTAAGAGACCCCAGAAAAGAAAAACAACTCACTCCACTCCATCCCACCCCATCTCACCTGCGCCAAAGGTAACTCCTTCGGATCCCACCATGCAGTTCCTCCGGTTGGGCGCAGCTGTCGCACATAGACCGAAGGAGTTTGCCACAAGTGCTTCCAGTGGATCATTTGCTGTCCCGCTCGTCGCAAGGATGTGGCTTCATTGAAGATCTCCTCACATCTGCATGGTGACTGTGATCGGGAACGGAGTTGAGGGAGGTCACTTTGCATCGGATTTGCACCATGTTGTTCTTGTTTAAGCGAACCTGCACAGATGTGGTTTCAGGGAAGTTCCTGCAAACGAGAGAGGATTTTTGGGGGAAGACGGGGGAAGAGACCCCTCTGGCTCAGCAAAAGACATGAATGAGTCGAGGACCAGCATTCTAGAGGGGCCTGCCCAGGGCAGAGGTCCATTTTGCCGGTTACCTACTGCTGAAGCAGGGGGGGCGACTGAAACCATAGACTTGCTCCAATCCTCACATGTTAATCCGGGCACTTGTTCTTCCGTTGTCTTCATCCGATGTCTCCTGGGCCTCCTGGAAGTGGCTGACGGTCTTCAGTAGCTGCAGGGCAGTCTCGTAGTGAAACATGGAGGCTCGCTCTTGCAGTTCTCCCTTCCAATCGAATTCTGCCAGGCACTGCTCGTGCCGAGCCAGCATCAGCGATAAACGCGCGATGAGGGGATAGAGCTCCAGGTCTTTCATGTCAAATAGTGCATCTAAGAGCCTCATTGAGGGCAGGGACCCTCTATCAGTCCAAAGAATACACGATCAACCTATTACACCCTCTGGAATAATCATGGAAGTGGATGGCATGGCCCCTTGGATGACCACGTTCCTCTATACAAGCAGGTGGTTTTCCACTTTGCTGATGATTCCAGGGTGTGTAAGTTCTGCTTTTTCCAGGAATTTTTGCATGATTGCACCGTAATTGCGACGGTAACTTTTATGAGACAAAGCTTGACCAAAATGAAGCTCTTACGCCTGATTCTGCTTTTGAACGGCCTTCTGGAGTCCTTTTCGGCCCCATGAATCCTGGGCGTCCTGCAGATAAATTCTTGCTTCAAAGGCCAAATCAAAGATCTTCAAAACCGAACTGTATCTTTCTCGTCGAGAACCCTGTGACTTCACCGGTAAAAAAAGACTGCATGCTGCTTAAAGAAACACCAAGCATGCTCTACCCGATCGCGGATCCAGCCACACCGGGCCCGGCAACTGGAAGTTAAACGATTCGATTCTCTTTTTTGTGGTCCCCAAATAGATATACATGTTAAGTGGGGAGCTTCCATCTATTTTGGGGGTCTATATTAATCATGCTCTATCCACCAAACTCGATCTTCCTTGCCATTGGAGGAAACTCTTCACCCTTCCTTGTAGCAAGTTTAAAGTAGATCCCCCAAGCCGACGACATGATGGACAAGGATTGAACACAAAAACCTTCAAATGACTTTGGAACATGGGACATGACCCATGAGGCATCATGACTCATCATCTTGTACCAACCTGAATTGGATGTTAATCGGATGGATGCACTCACTCCGGGTCCTTCGTTACTGCACTCAGTCTCTTTCTTTCACTGAGTGACCATTGCACCTCTTGTGGCTGGGCTGAAGACAGCTGTGCCCCATGGAAATCCGTCAACTCCTTCCTGAGACAAGTTGACGCACGCACGCCGCCACAGCACGAGAGGGTGGCCCAGCGATGGATGGTTGAGTGGAGATTACAACCAAAGAGTCAAATGCTTGTTGGATGTAAAATACATCGTCAGGGAGTCAGGGGGGTTTATAAACCACACTTTGGGTGGTGCCTTTAAAAAGCTGCACTTATTGAAAACACGTTTTCCTTTGTTGTCCCTTAATCTTTTGAATGCGAGTAATTATGTTTCCAGCTGTTCTTCAGTGTTTCTGTTCACGAACGTTCGCTCGTTTTCATGAGACACATCGGCGTCGTTGTTGAATCGAAGGACGTTCCGAACGGCGTCCATCGTGGCGTCGTCATCGTCGACTTCCCGGAGTGCCATTCGTTCCATGAAGATTCTGAGGGGATCTTACGATACCATGTCCCTTTTTTGGAAAAGTGTTTGATCATCCAAGCAGGGTAGCAGAAGTTGGTCAAGCACCAAGACAA